TTTTAGGTATATACACAAMMATTATTTAAGGATGACAATCCTACCTAAGTGTCGATCCAAAAGGTGAGGCTGCTCCTGGTACTTGTCCATTATACCTGAAAATGAAAAGATATCTGTAATTAACTAYTCAAATTAAAGGCTCTTAGAGAGYCTTAACTGTGACATTCTGATTCTGAACAGTTTTATCTTAAGATTTCTCTATCCTTGAGCTGCCACCACTTGTAAGCAAGGTCAGAAAGTTAGAAAACCACAGAGTGGATGGAGYTTGGAGTAGCCTGGTCTAGTGGRAGGTGTCCCTTCTCATGGCAGGGAGAGTAGAATGAGATGGTCTTTAAGGTCCCTTCCAACCCAGAGCAGGCTGCAATTCTAAGCAATAGTACAAGCATTGTCTGTATCCCTCACAGTGCACTCATTTACCTCATTTACAGAATCATCAACCCACTCCCAGGAGTCCAATTTCCTTGGACAAAACTCCCACCCCACTGGATGCAGCCCTGCCATGTTTGTGGCAGCCCCTCACAGCAGAGCTCTTCCTGGCCCTCCTGTGCCAAGCACACACCAGCAGCACACCCTGCCTGTGCAAATGGGCACAGCACTGCAGCTGCTGCAGGTGACCCTGCACAGTCACTCCTGTGCCCACAGCACTGGAACRCTGCTGTGCCCCTTCCTGCCTCATCACCTTCCTTCCCCTCCATCCTCTTCATCAACACACGACATCCCACCAACTTCTATACRCTGCTCCATCTGCTGGCATGTCAAATTCCTGACAGTTTTTTAAAAAACTCAACCTCAAGGAGTGCAGTAGTGAAACACCCTTCTGCCCCCGAGGCTCCCACAGCCACAGGACAATGCTCCCTGGACACAATGGATGTCACTCCAAGGCTACTGTCCTTCCCAAGCCTGGAACATATCTAAAGCTGTAGTTCCACCCCTGAGGATCTGCACTTACACAGGGTACAGACATGGCAACATTGTCATCTCTTTCTTGTGGACTACCTGACTATAGCAGGAAAACAAAAAGGGAATTATCCAGCAAAGAACAAAGAATTCCTAACAAAATTTATACTCAACAAATACAAACTGCAGCTTTTACCACTGTGCTCCTCAAAACTGTTCTCATTGCTTACTCTATTTTGTTGCTGGTAACATGGTCCCTTCCTTTCAGATACTGGCTCAAGAAAGGACAAATTAAACTTGAGTACTGAAAAAAATAACTTGCCAGAGCTTTTAAACACAAAAGCTTTTCAATTTAAACCCCAAATCAACAAAAAGCAGCTACAGAAATGAAAGCTGGATTCCAAAGAGATGATAAAGTGATCCAGTGTTGCACTGGACATTGCCTGGCTCATTTTAGCTATTTGGTCGGAAAATAACTTTTGAATTAGAAAACTAAAACCTCTTTACCTCCCCTTTTTCTGTATTTGTTCTCTCCACAAACTGAGAGAAACTTCACTCTCCATCCTTTCTCTTTTCTTGACACATCAACACTTCCATCTAAGACATGACTCAACTCCAACAGTGCTGCACAGCTGACCAGTAGATGACACTGCACAACCACTTTCAAGACACCAGACTGTCCAACAGTATCCTTGTGCAATTCCATTGGGAGACCAAAATGCCATCAAGAGGGAAACTTGAGCTCCTGATCATCACTAACTTCCCACCTTAGTTAATGATGCCTTAAGCTGCATACAAACAGCAGAACTAGTGAGCACAAATTCCACCAACACCCAAAGCAACAGCTTTCCAGCAGAAGTGCAATTGAAGACCAATTTTTTTTTCCCAGGTCAAAGCCTGGCAAACATAAAATAAAACCCCAAACATAAAAGCTGAAGACAAAGAACCAAAACCAGATCCTCTAAAACAATTATTTCAAAAAACATCTTCCTAATTTTCCTATAAAATTATAGTTGCAGATCAAACCATTTCCCAAACTTCTGTTTTTAATGGTTTACCAAAAAATGAGCATCACAAGTTTTTCTGAACGCTTTGGAAACCTTCATTAAAATCCTCTGGAACAGGTGATTACTGCATGCTCTGTTCACAGATAAAAGGTATTCCCTAAGTTTCAGTGTTCTACCCCACACACTGAGCCTCTTGCCAGGTTTGGGACATTTTGTCCAAGAAGGATCAAYGATACAAATGACACTAAATATTATAAGCCAATACTGAACCACATACACGGTATCTCTGAAGTAGATTGGGTCTGTATTTACTGGCAACAATATGCARGCAGAAAKCTCATAAATATCATTCAAATAYACAGAAACACCACAAATTATGTGAWAGAAACACACAGCAAGGTGATTGACTCAGGGAGATGCTGCCTCTCAGTCACTGAGATTTTTCCAGCAATGGCTTTTCCTATCCCAATGAAATCTGACATTTCCTCCGTGATGCTGAACAACCACACCGACATGAGAGTTCCTGGTACTCCTGTCTGCACAGTCACATTTTCATCACTGGCCTGTTCAGAGGGAACGTCAGTTCAGTCAACCAGTATAATGATACTGAAGAACTTCTGCAGGGTCAGATTTCCAAATCTGGAGGTTTCTGCTTTACTGTTTGCCTATCTCATTTCTTCTTGTCAAAAACAAAGCTGCTGGATCAATATTTTGGCTGCAAGTTTTGCAAYTTCACCATCCTTTGCAAAAATACCTGCAAAATGCCAGTTTGCTAAATTCAGTTTGATAATACAGGAATCACTGATTTAACTTCTGCAAATCACCTCATGAGAACATTGATTCAACACACACGTGTGCCTTCCAATAGGCTGGTTACCCAGGACACTGCTACATGCACCAATGGCCCCTCCAGATTCAGCTGAGGCCTAGGGGCACAAAACCCAAATCCAAATTATCTCAAGTTAGAAAAACATACATGATCTGTATGGATTCAGCCACTCTTCACATTTTCTAATAAATAAGAGTAAAAATAGGAAATTGACAACTTAAAGCACAAAATGTGTGTGTTTTAAGGAATAATCGGGAAAAAAAATTACTTTGTTTGACAGACATACAAACTCTTAACTAAATTACGGCCTGAATTTTAAAAGGAAAATGGAGGCCCAAAATTAGCCAGAATTCAGATTTCTGGAATCTAAGACCTACGTTTTCAATTACAGTAGTTAAATACCAGCTAATAAAGGAATATCTATGTGGAAAACAAAACGAACAAAGAAACAAAACTGAACTACCTGTTGATAAAGTTCCAGCAATACCACTGACCCAAAAATCAGCGGTTAGGTCCCTTTTTGGTAATCAGCAGTAATAAAATGAATGATACATAACAAAATTTTTGTATCAACCAATAACAGGACCACTCCCTTTGGAYGCCGTCCTCACCTATGAACCGTTCCACGGCCATTTCCCTTGTCACCAGCTCCCCGAAGACGCCTCTCAGGTTGSCGATGAGCTCCGCGACCTCCCGGCTCTCGGTGAAGCTGTCCAGGATGTTTCTCTCGCTGATGGYACCCGGCTCACGCTCCTCGCCCTCCTCGGGCTCCGGCCCCGCTCCGTCCATCSCGGCCCCGGCGCTGGCAGTGACAGATGGAAGGGTCAGTCCCGCCGCCCCTCAGGGTGCGGGGAAGGGCCGGTCCCGCCGCCCCTCACACCCCGCCCGGCCCCGCCATGCGGCCACCGCGCCCCTCCCGCAGCCCCTCCCGCAGCCCCGCCCGGCCCTACCGGCCTCTCCCGCCGTCCCGCACCGCGGGGCTCCCGAGCCGCCGCCCTCGCCCCCAGCCGGCCCGGCGCCGTGCGACCACYCGGGACGAGCGACCACCCGGCACAACCCAGAGACCGCCCGGTTCAAGCGCCCGGTGCCGCCCCGGGCCCGCCCTGTGCCGCCGCCGCTCCCGCCCTGCTACGGGCCGCCAGGAGGGACCAAAGGCAGCGGCGGCGGCGCCGCCTCCGAGCGCGGGCCCGGCCCCTCCGCGGGGTGACGGAGAGCTGCGGGGCGGGCACAGCCTGGGACACACAGCGGGGACGGGGACATCCAACCTGGGGACACCACCGGGGACCGGGACACCTACTGGGGAAGGGGACACTCACCGGGAACAGGGCCGTCCACGGGGGATGGGGACATCCACTCCGGGGACACTCACAGGGAACAGGGCCATCCACGGGGGATGGGGACATCCACTCCGGGGACATTCACAGGGAACAGGGCCATCCACGGGGGATGGGGACATCCGCTCCGGGACACTCACCCGGGACGGCAACACCCATCCCGGGGACACACGCCTGAAACAGGGACTCCCACCAGGAATAGGGACACCCAGTCTGGGAACACCCATCCTGGGGACCCCCAACTACGGGGTCCAAGGCATGGGACAAGGATGGGGACACGGGCATGGGCACCCAAGCGCTGGGTGAGGACGGAGATAGGGACCCCTAGGGAAGGGAACAGGACCACCCCCCCAGGGGGTGGGGACCTGGACACGGGAAAAAGGGAGAGATAGGGACCCCCAGGAGAAAAGGACCAGGATGGGAACAACCTCGGTTGCACAACGTGTGTGGAAGGCAGCTGGATGATGCCATTATCCATGACCTCCATTCCTTACCCGACCTACACCAAAACACTGCAGGACATGTTCAATATCATAATACATTATCTAAACCTCATACAATTCTGGAAACAACATTTGAACCCTGAAAGGTACAACTACAGCTCCATTGATCATCCAGGAAACTGAAGGAGGCACTTCAGCATGGCCAGGATGTCAGAACAGGTAGTTGCTCTTTCCTGGTATCCAGCAGTTCCATCCACACYCAAATATCTTTTCTTCAGGCTCAAACTCATTAAATCAAACCACAGTCACAAAACACATGTACACCAAAYACCTGGTTTCTGCAAGGCAAGTGCTTTATTAGAGAAGTTTGAATTCACAGGTACTTCCCAGTGTGATACAGTTTTGTCGGTTTGTTCACATCCATAAACACCAGTGAACATGCACTTTGCTGTTTCCTAGACCTAGATCTTCCAGCCATCAGCTACAATTCCAACTGTGCTMTAACTCTACTGTTCCACTTTCCCACTGTTATAGTTCTTTAAAGTTTTATAACCAACCATGACAGATTCCCCTGATTCAAAGGAAGTAAAACTTTTCTTCACTATTTATATCATATTTACAGATAATAAAGTGCATTGTTTTAAACCAATTATAACACCAAATTTTTAATTTTATTAAATCTTTATTGCACAACTATATTAAGATGAAAGMAGTCTAAACATATTTGAGCACTTTTGAATATAATATTTTATTATTAGCCATGCAAGTCATCTGAAGTCTAAATGGTAAGGTCATTCTTACCCAAATCTTCTAATTTGTGTACGTATATGTGCACTGCACTTACTTTATGACTCTCTGCCACTTTCTTCTATTAAAACCTCACACACAGATTTACCAATGTACTCTAGTTCAGATTGAACACCAGTATCTTTACTGAGCAGTTTTCTCCCCAAATTCCCACTGCCTGTGTTTTCTGTAAAAATAAAGCAGCAAGGAACAATAATATAAATTATTATAAATCCATGAGATTTGACACTGTTCCTTCACAACACAGTGGTGATACAACAGACCAGCTTTGCCCACTGCACTCATTTTCTAAAACTGAAAATAMATCAAGCACCAACCAACCCAGCAGCGACAGGTGCTTCTTCTCACCCAGCCATTGAGCCACCCTCCCACACTTTGCTGTCTCTGTACAAAGTTAGTTGAATATGTTACTACTGTAGCACAACACACTGAAATATCACACTAAAACTATGAAATAGTATTATCAAATTTGAGTCATAACAGCCTACTTTTGACTATACAATTAATTACCAAGGAACTAGACATCCTTTCAATAAATACCACTGGAATTTCAGTTCTTATAGCAACAGAAAAACAAATGTRAGTAAATTACATTAAATTAAAATAAATATTAGAAATATTATTAATTACATATGTTTGYCAAGTGCAGCTGAAGGGCCTTGTCTGCTAATTAAATTTAAAAGACAATGTTTTCATATTTCTAGAATCTGACAGAAATTTTGGACTAGAACATTTGACATACAAAAGTAAAGGAAAGGGAAACAGAAGACTATAGAAATATTCATGGGAAAAGGGCTGGGAACAGACACAACACTAACCCAGAACAAACAAGTGAACATAAGAACTTATTCCTTCTAGCACCACTATCCCACAACTGCAGCTTTCCATAACAAACTGCTGATAGAGTAGCAGCAGGAGTGGGAAGATGCTGTGGAACAACTGTGGGAACACAGCAGCTATGAGGCGTGAGAACAAGGTCAGGCTGACTGCTGTGCTGCCTTTCTAACCCAACAGAGCCTTGACAAACAATGCAGTCCTTTCCTTCAGCAGGGAAGGAATCTMTGCTGGGAAACTAGTGCCCAAGTCAAGATTACACAATTGCTCTTAATTAGTGAGGCTCAAAAGTGCACTAAGCCTTCTCCATATCAGGTGTTTTACCATTAGTTCTGAGTTTGTGGTACTTGGAATGCTTATTCCTAAGAAACTATGTCAGAATTTCTCAAATGTGTGTGTTTACTTTAGAAGTTTCTTCATCATGTTTAGGGTAGAGCCCCTGTACCCTGTCCCAAAATGGTTCCAGTGGTTAATGTAATTAAAGAGCTGATACAATTTGTTTCGTTTCTCGAATCCTGGAGCTTTGGGTATTTTACTGTGATAGGCAGAGAAAAAAGAGCTGCTGAACCCCCCRAACATTCCAGCAATGGCCAGTTCAAATTCTGAATGGCCATAGAAGGAAGCAGGGTCAAAGATAATCGGCCCGGAGTCATCCTCAGCCACATTCCCTGCCCACAGATCCCCRTGCAGGAGAGCAGGAACAATTTCTACATCACAGAACATTTCAGGAATCTTTGGCTGAAAAAGCATAAACAGACATGTAACAATTAAACAGTTTTGAAAAAAATATTAAATAAAATTAAGTACTGTAGCATGTTAGAGCCTGAGCTGGCCAAATGCTGCCTGTGTTCAGCCCTCACAGAATGCTTTGGACATTGCCAGCAACAAGCACAAGCCCGTGATAAATGTTCTGGATTGTTTTTGACAGAGCACAGCAAAACATTTCATTCATGCCTAGTATCAACACCTAGTACTGATGTATTGTTTCTAGGCATGGATGCTGTTGGCTGTCACGAGAAATATAAAATAATTTCATTTAAACTAAAAAGTTTCAGTGGCAAAAAGGACTACAGTAAGCTTCTGGACTAGCGAATGGAAGAAAGGAACACATCCCTGGTTCCCTGAGTGCTGCATGGAACATGGCCTGAACCAATTGTGCATCAGCTGTAAGCCTGGATCAGGTAAAATACAAATCTGTCCAGGCCAGAAGAATTTCACCCACTTCATAACACCAAGATCTTAGACAGAATTTATTATTATTGGTTTATTATTATTATTATTATTTACTATACTTATTACTACTATTATTATCTTATTATTATTAGCTATATTCTCAGAAATATATGTTAATGCTGAATTACAGGGGTTTTTTTCCACTACCTATAAAAAAAATTTAAAAACAACAGGAATTCTGTTCAGCTGACAGTGTTGCTGGACCCACTGTGAAGCTCATCCAGTCCCTGCTCTTCATTCCAAACTAGGGAAATCCCTTACAAAACACCTTTACAATCTCACTGATACACATTTTCTGGAATTACAGAAAGTAGATTTAAGACATGGTTCATACTTTTAGCTGTGACCAGAGTTCTCTGGCTTCTCTGTCTCCATAATCTTTTTCAATCAAATCCAGCTGAGCCTGGAGTCGGTGACGGATAAAGAAGGATGGCCAGTCACTCTGCCACTCATTCACCTGTAAAATACAACACAAGTTTGTAACACACAATTTTAACATATGTGCAGTYAGTGTTAATAATAGAGATCCAGTTAAAACATTCTATGCAGACACAATGGCCTGGACAATGTCAGTATGACCAATGCCTAATGACATCAAATGCCTTGCTTTGGAAGTGCTGCTCTCCACCACACTTAGGTGGGGAACTCTTTAATATAAGTTGAGGTTCTAGCTATTTTCATTCATTCCCGTTTTCTTAATGTGTTTTAGAGGGAGATTTCTGGTGAGATCATTTTAGTCGTTCAATATCATATTTCAAATCTTTCTGGAAATGCAGAAGTATTCGTTCATTTTTACTGGGTAGCATGCTTCTTACTTGGTTGTACTCAGAAAAGTAGTACTCAGCAAGGAGTTTGAGATACTGGAAGTTCATTCAGTTAAGTGGTAGAATGAAATCCTGACACTTCCAGAGTCAGAAAACAGTGGAATTATCACCAAGAGCCCTTTCCAATGTCTCATGAGACACGTAACATGAGGCTCTCCAAAAACAATGGGGTTTGCCATTGAGATTCATATAGAAGGGATTACTAAAACCAACACATGGTACATGAAGGGATATTGATTTTTTTAAGTATCATCAAGTTAAAGAACCACCACATATTCCACATTCTTGCACAATCCACCATGYCTGCTGGCCACACACACAGTACCAGGGCACATAACTGGACAGATGTTGCGTTCCCTGTGCTGCTGTGGCAGGATGGAACAGAGAAAGCAAAGCTGTGCTCAGAAAGCCAAAGGCCAATGGATCAAACTTGTGTATGAGGAGTTTACAGAGCTATACAAGTGCCTGTTGGCTTTCACAGCTGTGGAATGACCATACCTGTGGGATATAACCACAGCAAGTGGCTGTGTGGAATCCAAACTGATCCACAAACTGGGAATCAGAGTGACCAGCTCCTTTTCCTATAGAACAAAATAAATATTAGGGGCTTTGAGATCCTTCCCYGGTAAAGTTTCCAAACACAGAAATTAATTTCGAAGAATAGGCAGAAAAAGTAACTTTAAGCAATCAGTTACACTTATTTTATGGTCACAACCCTTTCTAAGGCTGGAAAAAACTCTTTTAGACTTGAAGATGGTGAATGGATAGCCAGTAACAGTCGGTGAGTTTGCTTTGGATAAAGTAGTTGGATATTCAGGAACAGAGMCCAAATAGAGTCACAATCTTTTGTTCTGACACTTGGACATGCTGCCATTATTTGGGACTTGCCAGTAATTTGGCCTTCACTCAAAAAAAAYGGATTATAATTTGTCCATCACTAAGAGTCAGATGCAGTCCACCTCTGAAGTCATGGGAATAACACAGATACAGAATGATACTTCAGATTTTAATAGTAACAACTCAAAAAAAATTATATAGCTCATAATTTTTTTCATTTATGCTTTAATTCACTTAGAGGAGCAGCAATTTTTTTAATATTTTGCTACTAATTTGAGTTCAAAAATGCCATCTCCAATATCTTYCATGAGGAACTTAATTCTGCATTTRCTAAGGAACAATATYCTGTAATCAGTTAATTATCTAAACCAATAGCAAGCAAAAAAGCGGATTTCTGTAAGCTGAAGAATATTTTAAGAGAGTACATGAGGTGGAAAGGTTTCACTGACACTGATGAAGAGTCCAAATTGTCAGTCTGATTTATGACAAYTGAAAGTTCTAATGATCAAGTTTAAATGCTATTTCTTACTAAATTTCATAATTCACATGATTTCATACAACAAAGTATACACAAAATGAAGAATYCAAAGTAAATTAATTTTGTTTTGCCAGGGTCAAAATAATGTATTTAAAACTTACAATAGTTGTTCAAGTTTCTGTGTGTATAATGTCCATTTGAGAAGTGTGGCATAGGGACAAGAGGGACATAGCTCATGAAACTGTCCCAGTATTGACTTTAATTTTTATTAAAACGATAATGCAATGCTGCACCACTGCCAAAGGAATTGTGTCCTTTTTKGTTTAGTACATGACATCAATACTCTACCAATCGTGCTTCCCTCAGCTTTCAGCTTCTCTCCAAGTTTCTGGTTATAAAGATGAAGCTCTGCTATCTGCTCTCCCAGCTTTGAAGAATATCTGTAGGATCAAATAAATCAAAATGAAACTGAAACAAGTGAAAAAAATATTAGGGAGAAAAAAACCCTCAATTAAATATGACCAAGGCTATTTTTGGAAAACGTAGAACCTTAAACAATTTCCCAAGTCCATAACAGGGAGCAAATGTCTTGATAACATCTCTGAAGATACAAYAGATAATACAATAAAGAAGATAGTACAATAAACACACTAAGCACTCTTGCAAGAAAGCTAAAGAGGACACAAGGTGGTATAAAAAAGACAGAAAGGGCAGGAGGATCTTGTGCTCCTCCTTATCAGCCCCACTATCAGCAGAGAAGGGAACATAGTATCTACTGCTGGGCTTTACCCTTCCAAATCAGCTGAACAGCAATTGGGATGGTAAGTCTGAAAAGAAGGCATAAGSAAGGATTGAGGCAAGTTTGCCTAATGCTGAAGACAGGTAACTAAAAGCCAGTTAAATATTCTACAGTTATCTTAACAGGAGTTTCAGGGATGGAAACTAATTTCTTCTCCATGCCCATAATGGGGAGAAAATTGCAGCCAGAGGGACTAAGGTTAGACATTGGAAAATCCTTCCTAGGCACATTGGGATGGATTTAGAATAGACTSTTAGCAGAGGGAGTGGAATTGCCATTATTGTCCTAAATAAAATAAATGGGTTGGGCAACCAGCCACCAAAGAGCCGAAGGCATGACACTGTTCCCATATAGAGGCCTGGAACATAACAGTGAACTCCTGAACATCTGTTTTCAGGAACACATGACTCCTGAATTCCATATTCAAGCTAGCTGACAGATGAAATGCAAATTCATATCATCTTTACTTAATCATCACTTAAATCATACTGGAAGATTCTCCTTAAAGAAGAGGTTTCAAAGACCTAGGCAGCCTGTAAGGTTAAAGAAACCTGTTGAGCTGGGAAAAGAAACTCCAAAGAAAAATCTCGTGAGAGAACAATGACCCAAACTCAGGTGTGATTATGTTCAGTTCAGCAGCATCTCAGCACATATGAACCAGCGCACAAATGGGTAGTGACAGCCATTCCTAGTGCAGGAAAAGCAAAATATGGACAAGGAGTGTGTACACATGTATATAGATACATATATATATATATATATTTAATATATACATAGACAAACACAGATCTTGACAGAGAGAAGCTTCTTCTCTGAGAGAATAGAGCAACTCTGCTTTTTAAGTTTCCTGGCTAACTGTAAGATTTTAGAAAATGTGCCCCAAAACACAACAAAAAGAGTTGAATGGACATACTTGTTGAGGTGCTTCATCTTTAGGTACTCCATGGCAAACATGGCTCCTCCTCCAGGCAGGTCAATCACTTTAATGGGCTGAGGCACTCTAATAATCTTGGTKTTATGAATTGCTTCCAAACTTGCCATTTCCCCTTCAAACATTTTTCTAGCCTGTCAAGGAATAAGAATATCCCTGGGCTAAACTATGGATGTCTGCAATGAATACTTTRGAAAAAACAGACTTTTGACAAAGTGGAAAGCAGTTAATTCCTCTTGATAAAAGGAGGGAGCTGCAGCACGGGTTCAGTCCACACAGAAGGACCTAAGGGCCTTAACCCTAACTTCCTTTTTTCCTAAATTTATTTCAGGGCTGTAGGATATGCCACATTTCACCCTAATTTGCAACTGCTTATGAAACACCAAACTACTTGGATGCAACAACACCTCTGACAATAATGTGGCCACTGCTAAATGAGGTAAGACTGAGCCCTTAAATTGGTTCTTCTTTCCCCACAGGCCACTGGATGGAGATGACAGCACAAATATTCRACATATGTTCTGCATTTTTGAAGCAAAGATGTGGTTCTTCACAGCAGTTTAGGATGAATTTGATATTGAAAAAGCAAATTTCTGATGCACTGTGATGTCAGAAAAAGCAATTGAGTAATAGAAAACTCAGGAATTTGGATGAAGAAGCTGCAAGAGTTTTAGTTTTAGCAATGCAAAAAGCAACGGGGAGATGTTTGAAACTTCTGTAGCTTTAAAGATAATATGTGAGCTTTAGCACTGGCCCCTGTTTGTGCCCTCCCATTATTGATCTTCCCAACTGGAACATTAAAAGGAATGCAGTGAATGCAAAGTCAGCTCTGGGCTTTTCCAAACTCCCAGTACCACAATAATAGCTTTGTGYTTGGCCTCCTTTTTACAGGAATTACAGCTCACTCCTGCTGTTGAGGGTTATCCCATTGCATTGCACTGCATTTCACACTAACCAAACTTGCTATATTAATTCTGGATAYAAAATACTCAAAGCTTTTAAAAGAATACTGAAAATTTGAATAATTAACAGTCAGCCCAAAAATGCAGAACTCTGCATTATTAACAATCAACTGCTTTTAAAATAAAAAGCTATCTCTATGCAATCCTAAAATCTGCTGGCATTGACCTGAGGTTTGTGGTTGATTTTCACAAATACCCGTCCGCTGTCTGTCTCATATGTTTGGCCTTGGCTGATGCATCCTCCCCCCGAGCTCCCCAGTGCCTTCAGAATGTTGGTGTTCAGCTCTGCCTTCAGAATTTTCTCCATGGTCATTTCCAGGCTGCTGCAGCCGCTCCTCTGCAAAACCCGCTGCGAAACAGGATTAAAGGTCTGGGTCCTTCTGTCACCGTCACTCTGCGACGAGGCAGAAAGGGCCACCCACTTTAGAAAAAAATTTTAAAAGCAGCTGAAAAAAACAGCTCAGCTAGAGACAATGTTTAAAAATGCTTTCCTTGCCGTGGGCTTTTAATACTATACATGAAAATTTAAATTCTTTATCAGTATTTGCTAGAATAAATTGGAGGGGTTTATTCTAGGAGAGGTGTGTCCTGGGGCCTCTCAGCGGTGCTGGAGCTGCTGGTATTTGTAGTTTGGAGCCGCTTTAAAGCTCTGTCATCATTGCGGAAGGACCGTTTTAGGTCAATCCACTAGAGTGAAGCTGCAGGCGGCCTCAGGAAYGGCCACAGGGGCTGTATCGGGGACATTTGGTGTGAAATCTAAAGCTGCAGCCTAGAAGGATGTGATTAAATCCGCTAATCGGCCGGGCGGGTTGCGGGGAGGAGGAGCTCACGATTCCCTGCGGAAATTCCTGCTGGTGGGGACAGTGCCGTGGGGAGGGGGAGATCCCGGCCGGGAGCGCAGGGCGGCTGTGCGGGATAGCGCGGGTGAGCGGCACCCCCGGGGGCCCGGTGTGAGGGGAGACAGTTCCCGGTGTGAGGGGAGACAGTTCCCGGTGTGAAAGGGTGGTGGTTCCCCGTGTGAGGGGGGGCAGCTCCCGCTGTGAGGGGGTGCTGTTCCCGGTGTGAGGGAAGGCAGTTCCCGGTATGAGGAGGGGCAGCTCCCCGTGTGAGGGAAAGCAGTTCCCGGTGTGAGAGAAAGTTGTTCCTGGTGTGAGGGGAAGCAATTCCCGGAGTGAGGAGTGCTGTTCCCGGCGTAGGGGGGCTTCTCCCCGTGTGAGGGGAGACAGTTCCCGGTGTGAGGGGGAGCAGTTCCCGGTGTGAGGGGAGACAGTTCCCGGTGTGAGGGGAGACAGTTCCCGGTGTGAGGGGAGACAGTTCCCGGTGTGAGGGAAGGCAGTTCCCGGTGTGAGGGAAGGCAGTTCCCGGTGTGAGGGGCGACAGCTCCCGGTGTGAGGGGAGACAGCTCCCCGTGTGAGGGAAAGCAGTTCCCGGTGTGAGAGGAAATTGTTCCCGGTGTGAGGAGTGTTGTTCCCGGTGTAGGGACGGCTGCTCCCCGTGTGAGGGGAGGCAGTTCCCTATGTGAGGGGAGGCAGTTCTCGGTGTGAGGCGGGGGAGCTCCCCGTGTGAGGGGGAGCAGTTCCCGGTGTGAGGGAGAGCAATTCCCGGTGTGAGGGGAGACAGTTCCCGGTGTGAGGGGGGACAGTTCCCGGTGAGGGGAGTGTTGTTCCCGCTGTGAGGGGGGGCAGCTCCCCGTGTGAGAGGAGGCAGTTCCCGGTGTGAGGGGAGGTTGTTCCCGGTGTGAGGGGGGGCAGCTCCCCGTGTGAGGGAAAGCAGTTCCCGGTGTGAGAGGAAGTTGTTCCCGGTGTGAAAGGGTGGCGGTTTTCCGTGTGAGGGGCGGCAGTTCCCGGTGTGAGGGGAAGTTGTTCCCGGCGTGAGGGACAGTTCCCCGTGTGAGGAGCTGCTGTTCCCGGTGTAGGGGGGCTGTTCCCGATGTGATGGGGGTCTGACACCGTTCTTCACACCGCACCCACGCGTGCACAAGCGGCCCATAGCCCTCCAGACTGGAACACGCAGGTTCCTGTTTAATGGCAGAACACACTCCATGTACGTATCGCACTGACAAAAATTAGAACATGAAGTCTTATTTTAGAGCCTGCTCACCCCAGAAATACTGCTTTCGGATGAATGACACATCCAGTGCCAAGAAAAGGACATGACATGTTGCTGCTGGATCTGCRTACTGCCTTTTAGTTTCTGATGTGCACAGCACCATTAGTTTCACTAGCTGGTGTGTTTTTATACAGAGGATAAATACCATTATATTCAATTCTTAATTCCATGGAATCTGGTAAGTGACTTACTAATAAAAATAAAATACTGTCTTTTTTGCAAGCGATTAAAAATATAAAAATGAGTCATGGGTCTGCGTATTCAGGCAGAGGTATATAAAATGCATGAAACACAATTAAAATGTGTTAAATACAATACAACGTATGAAATATACTTAACAATATATTTATCAYTGTTAATTCTACCAATAGTGTGACAAAATCTATAGTGCTGCAATTGTGCGTTTGGAATCTTTGTGAAGTTCCCTCAGTAACTTTTAAGGACAAACTTCACTGAGCTAAAAATGGATCTATAATTATTATGCACATGCACAACAAGGTTTTGCYTCATCTGTGTATGTAATCAATTAGATAAATGTTTTTGTATGCTTTTTAATACTTTGAGGAATTCATTTGTAGAATAGATACTTTTCTGTAAAAGAAAGTTACATTTCATACCACTCTGTGAGAATGTTCTGGATGAAATATTCCACAGACACTGTGGTAAAAGAAACACAACTTGAAGAACACTATTTCAAAAATAAATAAATTGAATGCTTCTGGAAAATAAATCCTTTATTTAGATTCTTTAGAACAGAAATGGTTTCTTTTGGGAGGGTTGGCTGTATCTTTCTTTAGAAGAAACTGAAGAACAATATACCTGAATTCAGTATCATATAACRCTTCTGATACAACATCTGTCTACAAAATTGTTACCTGAAATGTGGRAGAATAACTCAAGCCAAAWCTTTCATGTGTGAAGGGATTGTGTGATACTATATATAYCTCTATACTAAACTCAATACTAACAATCACTTGGTGCAGCTTCATCCCAGTTTCCTGTCAGTGTCTTCACTGCTGTGAGATCCCCCCAAGTTACATGTCTGTGATGTTCCTCCTGGATCAGCACTGGCGCCCCGGCAGTAAAATGCCAGAGTGATGCCAGGACCTGAAGCAGTCAATGCATCAGCTTAAACAAAAGTGCCATCAGAACAATTTCTTCTCATACTTAAGAGCCTGACCAGCAAAAKGAAGTGTGGGCTTTGCCCCCAGGTGATGAGCCGGCTCCACCCGCTGGGCTGCCTGTGCTGGGGGAGCTCAGAGAAATGCTGGTGGGGTGGATCTGTTGGGATGGTGAAATTGCATTTCCACTCCGGCAGAGCACGTACAGGACTGCCTGCAAGTCCAGGGCTTAAACCTGCTTTGGAAACACGCACTAGGGAGTGCTCTCCTACCGTCCGGGTGCGGGATGAAGAGTTCTGTCCCATGCACACGGCTACCTTAGTTCATTTCTTCCAAATTATACCCTTGGTCTCCTCAGTCACCAGTCTGGTCCCTTTCTCTATGTGATACGCAGGAAGAGTGCCTGGCTGGAGGGGGCATTACCGCAGATGTGTGTGTCCCCCAAGGCCAGAGTCTCTGTTCCTCCTGCCAGCCAGGCCAAAGACAAGGTAAGGAGAGGCTGGAGCAGCACTCCTTGCTCCTGATAATGCCTGCAGCAATCCCAC